TCTCTTTCTCTCAAGCCCACCTAGCAGCAACGCGTAATGTAGGCAAAATAACATTACCGAAAAAGACAAGGGAGACTGGAATGGCTATTTCCGACTTATTTGTCGTCGGAAGGCAGTCACGAAATATGGAACATTTGGGGCTCGATCACGCGATCTGTTGGTTGGAAGTCTAACGCCCTAATCACTGAGACACGGGGTCGTTGTCCTGTCGCCAGATGTGTTAACCGACATTCTGAAATGCGTTTTCTACTCGGAAAGGTTACTTAGGAGGGCTGTGATATTAGTTAACGTGCGGCAAAATGCCAAGATATTTGAGTTACTTCGGGATGCAGGCTTTTAGACGACATCTTTTTCCTGCAGCCTGCAAAAACTACACTCCGTAAAAGTGGCTGCCTCAGTGATATGAATATTTCTCATTGACTTTTGACGATCTCATAAATTCGAATATAAAAGCATGCAAAAACTATTCATTCTTCCACTCATTTGAAGAAAATTACGACTTCCTCAAGTTTTATACTTGATGGGAGCCTATAATTCGGTTTTATGAAAGCTTATACTTATGAGATTTCTTAAAGACCGTGAAATGTCCGTTCAAAAACATCGTGTCTCAGCATTTACTGAGGTTGCTTGTAATGTTTGAAATATGGTTCAAATCCACTGATAACTTTCATGAACACCATATAATCTCCTCATAATACAGTATGGAAATTTATGATTTTCTGTACATGGAAATATAAAGCTTGTAGTTTCGAAACTCTGAATGCAATGTAACAGCGGTTCAGGTCCAGTAATATTCGGAATTTGGAGCAGTTTTTTTAAACCGAATTCTATCCTTCTTTCAACTATAAGATTTGAAGAAGACGTAATTTTCTTCCAAATAAGTGAAAGATTGAAATATTTCATGTATGTTTTCTAGAACATTTTTGAATTTACAAGGGCACCGAACATTAATGAGAAAAATTAACACCAATTAAAAATGTCGCTTTTTTACAAAGTGTAGTTTTTGTGGGCTACAGGAAAGAAAATCGTTCAAAAGACGGCATCCCGAAGTAAGTAAAATATTTTGGGATTATGCATCCCGACGTAACTCAAATATCTCGGCATTCCTCCGCACGTTAACTAATATCACAGTCCTACTTAACTAACCTTTTTGAGTCAAAAACGCATTTCAGAATGTCGGTTAACATTTAATGAGTTAGCACATCTACTGTGCAGTGGTAGGGGGCACTCACCGATCGCAACCGACAGGACAACGATCCCGTGGTCCAGTGGTTAGAGTCGTTGGACTTCTAGCCAGCAGGTCGCAGGATCGAGTCCCAGGTGTTCCACACTTCAGGGTTGGTTATGACTGGCTGACGACTTCTGGTGAGCCATAAGTGGCCATTCAAGTCTCCCTTCTCTTTGTATTCAATGTTACCCTGCTTAGGTAGTTAGCGTTCTGAAAGAGCGACTAAGGGCAGCCCGTCTTGATGTGGCGCTAGACACTGTTTCAGCGATCTGGGCAGGAGATTGGATTTGAAAAGGCAGGAGGAAACAGATGCTGATGATGATGATGATGAAGATGATGATGATGATGATGATGATGATGATGATGATGATGATGATGATGATGATGATGATGATGATGATGATGATGATGATGATGATGATGATGATGATGAGAAGGAGGAGGAGGAGGAGGATGAAGAGGAGGATTGGGAGGGGGAGAAGGAGCAAGAGTATGGAGCTTAGGACGTTATAAGTAGAGAGTACGGGGAGGAGGATGAGATGCCGTTACTCCGAACATTGCTTATCGAAAGTTCCACAAAAGTGTCGTTCACAGACCCACCCTAATTGGAGGACGGAATACCAACGTTCTGTTTTACCCTAAGTTCCCTGTGCGGATGACAGCCACAGTGAACGTGAGGCAAGGCGGACTAAAATGACCACTTTTGACCTCCCCATGTTATCTCAGTCATACAGCATACATTGCTGAATGTGTCTTCAGCACGACTTTCAGTAGTTCCGGTTGCGGTCGAGGTGACGTGAGCCCGTGACTGAACGACTAAGCGTTTGATCCAGTGAACGAGGTAATGGATTGTGACTCCTCGTTGTCGGGGCATTGCTTGACGTCTTGGTCAATAATGACTCATGGCGTTTCCCCTTAGTTGACTGCGACTTGGGACACGTGCAGGAGTCCACCCCGGGGTGACGATGAAAACCAGAAACACGTGCACACCTGCGCCCCTGTGCGGAAATAGCTTTGGAGTTGCCAAACGTAACGTAACAGTGACCAGGCAGACTGCGTTCATAGTCACAATCAGGAGTTTTAAAATGTAACGAATCACGCTATCAAAATGATAGAATTGTTTAGTAGAAATAATACGTAAACTCGAACCTCCATCATTGTAAATCCTGCTTTTATCTGCAGACCCACTAACTGGCAAAGTCTGAAGAATAAAATAATGTGTAGCATGGTATTAGCGACAAAGACAAGGGAGACTGGAACGGCCATTTCTGGCATATTAGCTGTCGCCAGCCAGTCATACCCAACCCCGAAGTGTGGAACACGCGAGGCTCGAACTCGCGACCTGTTAGTTAGAAGTCCACGCCTCTAATCACTGGGCCAGGAGCCCGTTGCCCTGTCGGTTTTCCATCGGGAATATACAATGTTAGGGGGGGCTCACCGTTCGTTCTTACGGAACTCACTCGTTCCGTTGTGCCTTACGGGCTCGCTCTCGAGCCCAATCAGCAGCCGCACAGCGGCACATGATACGGGCAGTATGCTATCACCAACAAAGACAAGGGAAACTGGAATGACCATTTCTGGCTAATTAGCCGTCGTCAGCCAGTCATAAAATAATGTGTGCTATGCACAGCTTGTACGATATACCATACGTAAAAACCACCAACATTTCGATCGTCGTACCCGATGATGCCAACTCTGACGTCCCCCGTGTGCTCCACGGCAAGGTGAAGCAGGCACTATGACTTGCGCGTGAATCAAAGTGAGAGTAGACCTTCACAGCATCTACCGCACTTTTTCATCCCCACTTTCCGCCTGCATCCGGTGTCAAGACAAAGTCCAAAAGAAAGGAGGCGGGAGAGGGCGCAGGTGACTGGCACGGCCGGACCCGAACCTAGGCGTACCATTACACCCCCGGGTCCTCAACGAACACTTGATCACGATTTTAGCCAACAACAAAATAGACGAATCAGAATGAGGAGGATGACTGGGGAATCATGCACAGGACCTGTATACCCAGATGGAGCGCAAACTCATCTACCGGCAGGAGGACGGATCCCAGAGGACTGCCAGCACACACACCAGGTTGCGAGGCCGTGGTTTGTTTATCGTGACATAGCAGATGTATACACTCCTTAAGGCCTATTGGATATGTACACTCATAACAAGTGCCACAGATGGGACCTGTGATGACGCGCCAAGGTCCGGACTCACAATGCGACAGACACCTGCGACCGACCCTACCTCTGGTTTTCTTAACTTTTTCTTAACATCGGATTCAGATCGATGAGGAGGAGATAGTACAGTAGACTTGCGCAAGTCTATTATAACTATACATCAGTTCATGCGCAGTTTGCCCCCTATGCGTCCATCATGTTCTGGGGCACCTAGCAGACAGCGTCGGAATGGACGGTCGAGCTGTCGTCGTCAGCTATATCGAAAGGAGGTTGCTTTCTCAACTGGTCTGTCCGGTGCCGGAGTACCAGAGCAACTCATGGTTCACGTGATAGTCAGTTTTTTGAAAACGTAGACTTAGTCGAACTCGTACGGGTGTCCCGGTCCAGTAGATCGTCCCCCAGTCTGCGGGACTAGGATTCTTTTCCCGCACTGATAGGGCGATATCCACCACTCACACATTTCGAGTGATCTTCACGTTTTTCCAGTGTTGTTATTTCTCTCAAATATGTTATAAGATTCCTGTGTAAAGCAACAGAAAACCAAGAAAAGGAAACGTGGCGAGGACTTGTGCATAGGTCCACTTTGCGTATCTGAATCTCACGTTCTGCTATAAACAGGTATCGTTTAATTAGATCATACAGTTCTGAAAATGGTGTCTCTAAGTCCTTGTGCCAACTGAAAGGTCTTCTGGACACTTGACCCAGGGAATTTGTACGTTTGAGATAATTCCACGAGTGTGAGTCCGTGAACAAAGCCTGTTTATTGGCCATTTTTTCTATCTCGAGACCATGGCACTTGAATCTCGTGCGACACTCCAGGAGTTGTGACTTAGAAGGTCCCCAACCGACGAGATAACTCGGTCCTCATGAAAGTATTTTGGGGTGTCTACAATGTCTCCTTGATGCGGCCTTCATGGGCTTCCAAGCACCCTCCAGGAATGTCCGGTGCATGTATTGGAGAACAGGTCGTGTGTTTGGCTCGCCAGTAGGGGTTGACTAACTTTTTCAGTCGATGTGCCTTGGTTCGCTTCCGGTCATTATGATGTCATCTTGCCATCGGAGCCAGGTGGGTGAAGAGGAGGTGCCGTAGGTGCTGTGCAAGTCGGTCTCATTTAAAAATAACGAACGAGTAAGTCGACGGTGCTGCGTTCACTTCGTGAGGCATACGGTGTACGTCCTCGCTTTTGCAGTTGAACCATCACAGTCAGACGTGACTTTCGCATATATCTCACGGACGATTGCTTGAATGTTGCTAGAGGCATCCTGGAAGTGCTAAAATCCATTTCCCCCAGCCTAACATGCATCACTAACTGAGCACGACAGGCAGTATGAACCCCTGTCTTAACCGGCAAATTGCTGGGTCATCTTGGTCTGAATTTGGCCCATAAGTTGTCGACGGCGAATCTAAGTCAGAAACTGCCCTTTTAAATATACTCAGAGCGTCACAGTTACCAATCCAAGTCTCCAGTAGAGTGATAAGACTGAAAGCATCAGAATAAGAAATTTAATTAAGCAGAGAACCAGGGACCGTCCGAATGCGCGCTGGTACCCATGCTGCGATCGAGAGGTTATCGCTTCTGGAACCTATAGACAGTTCGATCGTCGTGACTGACGATGTCCACTGAGTGCTGCACAGCAGGCTGAGATCAGGGGCGGTGACCTGCGCATGGATTAGTTTGCAGTGATGGTAGACTTGCGCAGCGCCTAGCTCACTCTCCCATCCTCTCCACCTGGGTCCGGTGTCAAGACAGATTCAGATAGAGCGGAGGCGAGAGAGATAGACCGTCAGAGGCTGGCACGGCGGAAAATGCCGCCCCCGGATCCCTATGTACACAGACCAAGATTTTATACCACAAGGAAAAGTGAGGGAGTAGCACGGATTCCAACGAGTCCGGCGTGAGCCTGTACATGGGCGTGCCATCACACCCCAATGTTAGCACTTGTTATGGGTAAGAATTCCCGACAACCACCTCTGGAATCCGCTCTAGTTCCCGCGTTGGTGGAGGGCATCTACCGCGTGACCCGTTCTAAGGGACAAGGAACCTATCGCTTGCACGGCGGATGATTACCTTAACGTAGCGGGCCCCTAAGCAGGCACCGCAATGATGGTTACATCGAGGTACAGTCATGCAAATAACCTCTGGAGGAAGCGAAGAGACGAGTCCCAGGAAGTAGTCTTGAAGAAGGAGGCACGACCCCTGGGACAAGAGTTTTATTAGCCTGACGTTTTGGATTCCTGCTCGAGCCCATCATCACAGAAAACAGCAGATACAGGTGGTTCATGCACAAGGGGCTGCAGTATTTATAGGATGCAGTAGTCATGCTACCGCATACCTATGAATATTCACGGCTTCCCCTTCATCCGGGATCGTTGCACTCGGTGTGCTGGCAATTTGATGGCCGACATTCGCATCGTTAATTTCAGCAATTTAATCACGTGCGTTCGATGTTGGTGTGATGATTGCTCGACCTGTCTGATCCACCGGCCCTGGTGTTGGGAACAGTGTTCACCTATGCACTCCCCGCGTGGCTAATAACTCCGCTTAGGCAAAGTCTCAGCACTGAGTATGGAAGGGGAAGGTCATTGCACTTGTTACTGAACTGGGGGCCAGTAAATAATGACTCAGGCAGCTCCCGGCCCACGCGGTTGTCACATCCTGCGAGAATTTCGGCCTCCTCAAATTCGAATGTGTGGCCGTATCTCGTCGACTCAGCCGAAACTTGATAGCTGGCGTCATTTCTCCGCACCGCCGCCACGTGTTCGGTCATTCGCGTTCGGAACTGCCTTCCGGTTTCTCCGACGTAGTTGCTTTGTCCGCACCTGCACCAGTTCCAATAAGCGACTCCAGCCGGTTCTCGCCGTGGCTGCGGGTCTTTCGGTTTCATTACCAGACGCCTGATGGTTGCCTCCGGTCTGTGTGCATCTCTTGTCCTAGCGATCGTGTTTCCTTCTTCAAAACCTCTGGAGGAATTATTTTGCTTTTTTACCCCTTTAGGTGGCTCTCCTTGACTGTCCAAACTTAAACAGCTATCCAATGACCCCGGAGGTGGAACGTGACATTGAGGTGGCGCGATGTGGTGCTCTGGCACTCTGGTCCTGCAGCAAATCCGCGAGGTCCAAGGTGGCGATGAAGAAGGCCGGTGTTATTTCCCTGTTGGCACGCCTTCTCAAGTCTCCTCATGAGGCCATGCTCATTCCGGTAGTGGGAACGTTGGAGGAGTGTGCCAGCGAGGTGAGAAGTATTCACTGCTCTTTCCAACTCTTTAGAGTTTTACTTACGTACCCTGCAACTTACAGACATACAACCCGAGTCACAGAGGTGAAAAGACTTAAAGCCCATGCCTGTTAGCCGACACATTTCTTGTCATCTCACCGACTTGTTTCTATCTGGTTCGGCTTTGTTCATGCCTAATATAGCTGATTTAATTTTCCGAGAGGTATTTTGGACTTGCCACACACCTGGCTGTCTCAAGAACTGCAAGACAGTGGTGGTAAATGAGAGGAACTTAAGTCTGCTGTGTGACAAAGTAACCAAAGGACTTTGCGGTACCTTATAGGACAACCAATGTGCCCGATCGCAGCTCTACGCATCCAGGCAGCGCCGTGAGTGGTGCTTTCGCTGATCGCCATTTTACCCCCTCCGCGGGTAGCGAGAAGCTAGGCTAACGGCCAGACCTGGGTGTTTCGCATAATCTGCGCAGCAAATTATATCGGATAGGGTTCCCCACAGCTGATCGAAATCGATTGAAATCGTGGCGTGAAAGCTCCCTTCTTTGAGCCTCCACCGAAAATGAGAAATAGATAGAAAAAACGAGTAAAGGAGAACTTGTTTACCAGTGAGGACTGTCAGCTATACTAGCAGCAAGAGGACGCCATGTGCGGCCTTGTTTCAAGCAGAGCTATTGGGTGGTGTCCACAGCCTGACAGACGATTCTGTTTGCTTTAATCAGGGTTAAAGTCAGAATAATTGGAAAACTTGGGTCCGTGGATTAAACGGCAGGCTGTTTGGCCAAAACCCCTATCGGTCAAATGACCCACGACCTGGGGTTCAGGCAGGACTGATTGCTGTTGGTAGTTAGGTCTTAAATTCTACCCCTTATGTAGCCTTCTCTATCCCACTCATTAGTGACTCATTCAGTTATCGAAGTCAATCATGGGCAGTACACTGATGGGCCGCCTTGTGCTGCTTTCAGGGTAATTGGCGTCAAGGTGTATCAGCACGGCTGGCAAGTTAGTCAAAAAGTTACGAATTTTTCACGGTTCAGGACAACCAGTTTTGGCCTGTCTTCGATCCAGAGGTTCCAATATCACTAGTTGCAGAACAGTACCGATCAGACATGTGAGTAAGGAACCCCCAGTACTGCGGGTGACCTTATGCTAAATTTTATGGGGCACTTCTGCCGTGTGTCAACTTTAACTATAATCCGTACGCTACCCGTAATCCCATCTCTAACAATAACCCGACACTAGTCTAAACCCTTTTGGAATTGAGTGCAGAGCCGCCAGCAGTACAGGACGTCCTTATTTCCGCGCCTAATCACTATGACCGTGCAGACAGAGCGTCGATGTTAGAAGTGAATGTGACTTTTGCGAGCTGGACGAATGCTCTATCATCCAACCTTCATCCTAAAAATGGTCAATAAAAGCATTTTGTCCCATATGTCCGCCTGCACGATTGTGGATCGTACTTTGGGGACGGCACGCAGCTAAGATTAGAGACCAAATGCAAGTGTAAGACTGATTGAGAGTCCACGACCTCGGAGTTGCTGGTTGAAACGTCCACACTGTTCTCCAAAAAAACAACGCGCCATCCGCTAACCCGTCTGACCCAACCGTTGTTCAGTGAGCTACGGCGCTTCATTAAGTGGGAATATTAGAGAACCTCGAACATATTCTCTAAAATCAGGCAACTGCTTGAAACCTCGATATTGAACGCACGTAGACGGTAGGGGCAAGCTTCCTCGGCAACATTTGGTGATAAGGCCTTATTTACCGCAATTTCACAGCGTTCCTGACTTCCCACATTCCTGCAGTCTCTCACAAGGTTTTTCGAGGTGCCATAGCTGATAATGAGAGGTTTTCTAACACAGTCAGCGAGACAGAGCTAACAGGACAGGACCTACTACGGAAAGGGAGGAGCCAGTCGGCAAACCGAGCGCTGAGTCACACGCGACGCAAGTGGTGAGCCGTCGAGGTGGGTTCGGTTGCTGTTACCACCCCGAGTAGACCGCTGCAGGCCCACCAATCACAGTTGTCCGTCGCTATTGGACGTCAGGTTACTGCCTAGGCTACCGACATACTAAGATGCGCAGTTTTCTTCACTCCGACTTTTGTAGGAAACATTTCATTTGATGTCGTCGATTTGTATTCTAATGTTGGCCATAGCGTTCCTAAGTGGTGAGGACGCCGAACGTCTTATACCTATCAAAGTCGCCCCGTGTCTGCTTTTTACCAAATGTAGGCTCTGACCATTAAAGTGCCAATAATGACATTTTGATCCCTTATCTGCGCCAACATCATTCCCTTTTAGCAAAGTTACAGGGTGGCCATCAGGACGGAGGGTATGATCGAGGACCTTGTTGCGAATCTTAGAAGTGACAATCAGGAGTTGCAAATGCATTGTGCAGCAACAATATTCAAGGTAAGATGTAAATGTTCTCCAAAATGAAAACATAACTTTCTTTACCTAATAATCGTCCGCGGGTCCGGGGGTAGTCAAAACGTGATGGTTGTTGTTTAAATCAATCAAAATATTACCTTTTTAAGAGGTATGTTGTAAGTATTAATTGCAATTCTCTAGCCTCTGTACCGAAAAAAATCACGTATGAGCATGGCCTTGAGAAGTCACATCCGTAGGTGTTTGATAATTGTTCATTTGTAATGTTATGAACAGACGTTTGTAAGCAAATCTATGTTTTAGGGCTGTGTGTAGGCTGTCTGCAAAGCAGCTGGTAAGTTCTTCAAGGTGGCCTATAGAAACAAACAGTTAATCAGTCTTTTGTAGCCTGCCACCTGAAGCAACGAGGGCAACGGTGTCCTATGCGGGGATAAGTTTTCGGCGAGCTTGTGTCCCTGCAAAGGGCTGCGCCATAGATGCGTTAAAACACAATGAAAAGTTCAATGGGCTCACAACACGCGTTTATCGAATTGTGCTGTCTCAGCCACCGCGTCCAATCCCACCACACGTTGGCCGAAATGCACGAGCAGCAGACGGGTGCCTTTGAGGGGGAATGGGGTTGACACTAGGGAATCCATCCTCAAGGCACATCGCGCATTCCTCACTAACAATAAATCTGATGTGTTTGAGTCCATCACGAAACGCTAAAAGTTGTGGCTTGGAAGACTGTCAGCAGACAGGTTAACTGGCTCCTTATCAGGATTAAGAGTCCTGTTGCAATGGCTGCTTACTAACGTGGTCCCTATGGCACCCCCGAGTATGTGAGAATCTAATCCCCGTCACAGTATCCCGGCACACATGGAGCAAGGATCAGATCGTATGTGTAGAATGCATAGACCAGCTACTTGGCTTTGTCTACCACTGCTCCCACACTCCCCTAATATTGTCTTGGCGTCTTCGTAACATCGGAACAAGGTGGGTGTGGTAGGAGTGGGTGCGGTAGACGCTGCGCAAGTCCCCAGTGTTGCACCAACTCTAGGGGACGCGCGTGGACGCTACCGCTTCTACTGACCAAACTGTCAGTGAGGGAGACGTGCGCTGACCGAGCTCTGCCTGTCTCTCTTTTTCCCCATTCGCCATGCACCAAAGGCAGGCCCAGTTGAACTTGATGTCGGATAAATCGGGAATGAGCAGTTGAGTTGGCGGAATTCACACTCACGCTTCCCACGCACGTTCTGGTATCGACACACACACTAAGCAGACTTCAAAGTAGGTTTCCTATCTCCTTCAGAAGAGAGTTTTCACGAAGGTAACATTATTAATTCATCAGTGCAGACCGAGGTGCAGTACAAGGTCTTAGAGTGTTTGTTGTGAGAAAGATGAGCATTAGTTTCGCATAGGATATGACTCACCAACTCTCTTCCAGTAGTAAGTCCGGCTCTAGTCCATTGGAGATAAGAGTGGGCGCAGTGGATGACCTGGCATGAGCCGCTGTCTAACGCGTGTCACGTACACGTGTGGGTCCAACCTAACATCCGGACCTGAGGAGCCGCGAAATCTCGAAGGAGGGGACACGATCACTGGGACAAGAGCTTTATTAGTCTGACGTTTCGGATTCCTGCTCAAACCCATCATCCGAGACAAAAGCAAATACAGGTGATTCATGCTCAAGGGGCTGAAGTATTTATAGAATGCAGTCGCCATGCTGCCGCATACCTATGAACGTTCACGGCTCCCCCCTTCATCCGGGATTGTCGCGCGTGGTGTGCTAATTGTTCGAGGGCCGACATTTGCGTCGTTAATTGCTGCAATTTCATCACGTGCGTTGGGTGTTGGTGTGATGATTGCTCGACCATCTGACGCGCTGACCCTGGAGTTGGGAAAAGTGTTCACCTGTGCGCTCCTCTCGTGGCTAATTACTCCGCCTAGGCGAAGTCTCCGCACTGAGTATGGTAGAGGAAGGTCACTGCACTTGTTAATGGACTTGGGGGGGCCAGTAAACCATGACTCAAGCAACTCGCGGCTCACGCGGTTGTCACCTCTTGCGAGAATTTTGGCCTCATCGAATTTGAATGTGTGGCTGGATCTCGTCGAATGAGCCGCAACTTGAGAGCTGGCATCCTTTCTCCACACCGCTGCAGCGTGTTAGGTCATTCGCGTTCGGAGCTGTCTTCCGATTTCTCCGAAGTGGTTGCTTTGTCCGCAAGCGCACCAGGTCCGATAAACGACTCCCGATCCACAAATGTGTCAAATCCACCCACACACAACCCCAGGTAATCCCGTATATACTACTTGCAATTATCTCAGCGCTGCCTTTTGTGGCTTTTGGAGTAAAACGAACATTTTGTTGAAGTGCGCCGCCGACGCCGAGACACGCGACCTTGTCCGACATCACGGTGGCCTGTCACCCCTGGTTGACCTGCTATCACAACAGGACAACAAGGAGCTTCAAGCCGCTGCGACGGGAGCTGTCTGGAAGTGCGCGATCTCGCCGGAAAATGTCGCGGAGCTGCAAAAACAGGGCATCATCGAGAAACTTGTTAAGCTGTTGACAGATCAGCCTGAAGAGGTACGTCCGGACATTTTTCCCTTAAAAAAACACTAAGCATGATGAAACCACGGTAGCTAGCAGGCGAGTCAACCGTAGGTGTGTTCTGTTGTCCAATCAGAACCTTCCCAGAATCTATTCAGAAGTTGAAGCCAGGGTTTGGGTGTGTGGACGATTCTCTTATGTATGGAGAGATGCAAGTATAGAAAGTAGGCTCCTGACCGCCACTCGGGAGTTGGCAATTTAAAAACATCGCTCTTATTGCCTCCCTTCTAGCTGTGTAGGGCATTGTTAGCTGACTGCTGACTCTGTGAGATTTGATTTAAATTAATTCATTTAAACTGAAGGCAGGTCCCTCGTAAAGACCTTTGGTAGAGTATTCACCTTAACCGACCATTTTCCAGATGGTTGCAGTAAGAGCTAACACCAGCTGCCCACGCCCTTTGAAAGAGGGAAGGAGGGAGAAGAAGGGGCAGTAAGCGACAGTGAGGGTTAGGTGGCGGCCTGTCACGGGGGGGGGGACGGGGACGCGGAGACATGCATGCAGTTAAGCAATCTCTGCCCACGGCGGAGTCTTGACCCGGGCTGATGGCGCAACCATTCACGTCACTTCTGGTTGCACATTTCACACCTCACTTCTCCCGTTCCTTACTCCTTCCTCCTTCCCCTCCTCCTCCTTCCCCTCCTCCTCCTCCTCCTCTCCCTCCTTCCTCGTCCTTCCTCCTCCTCCTCCTCCCCCTCCTCCTCCTCCTCCCCCTCCTCCCCTCTTCTTTTTCTTCTACTGCTGCTGCTACTACTACTACCACCGCTGCCACCACTACTACTATCACCACTACCACTGTTACTACTAGCACCCACCCCTGTCTCCATCCCCTCCCCCCTTCTTATTTCTCCACCAAATTTGAAGTAGTGGTTTATCTTTATGCAGTACTGACTTCGCAGTGGAACCATATTTAGCCTAACTGTTTAGAAGTGTAGGCTGAAGTGCCCAGGCGCGTTCTCAGTTGGACAATGCTGCCCAGGTTACTTTGTAGTAAGAATACGCTCGGAGCACTGTTCACTACAATCCACCCATAAGCGTATCCTGAATTCTTCTGGTGGTTTATGGACCAGTCATCTAGAAGAATTCCCCTGCATTTACGGTCAGCGCAAGGACAGTTAGAGCATACCGAAATGACTTCTCAGTACCTCAAAATTGCACATTTTAATGTATGTCCATCTCAATTGTTTGCTTGTTGGCAGCTTACGCCGTGTGGCCGAAGGAAAAAAATGATAGTGGTAACCTCGTACGGCAACATAGTGGGAATTGACGTTTATCGATGCGATACAAAATATGCTCATAATGACGTACGCTTATACGGGCAAGACTCAATACTTGATGATAAAATGTTTACTTGGAATTTAGCAGTTTCGAAATTTGCGGGTTAAAAAGGGATTGGTTATGTCGGTATCCTCCACACAGGCACTATGAACAGCACTGAGCAATCATGCTGGAGTTGTGATTGGGGTTTCCGCCTTCACGGGATACAGTTCAGGTCGGAGTTTGATTTAAATTGGGGTATGGTTATATACCACTCCAACTAATGACTAAAACTGCAGTTTTTAAGCCCAGGCTTTGCTTCCTGTTTACCTTAACAGATGAAGAATTACCTATACGTAAACTCCGTATCGGCGCGTGTGAAACTCGTTAGCAGGACTGAAAAAGTAATAAATTGTGGTGTTGTGATTGCTTTTACTTCGCCTGTTATCGCTTTTTGGACGTCTGAGAGCTATTGCCGTTATCGTTGCAACGTGCCCATTTACTTGGTTTACTTTGGATTTATTTCGTTTTTGATTGGTGTGTTAGTTACGGTTCAGGTATTTGTCGCCAGACAAAATTTCAGCCCACTTGTGCATAATGGACCACCTCTATGAAATATAGCACATCTATTTGACACAAGCTTTGCGTTTAGTAGCATATGCCCCTTCGTTTGCAACATCGACTTGTCAACGTAACCGTGGTCTCGTCTTTAAGCAAGGCTCCTATCCACTGAGAACCCAGAAGCTGATTGCTCAAATGTCCAAATATAACCAAAATGCCTGGTCAAAGAAGATCGAATATACCGTGAAATGCGCAGAGGTTGACCTTGACTTCGCTGCTTTTTAATTTCCTAAGAAACCAACTGCGAGCTTGGAGTAGATTAGTTTATTCTAGGTCTATAGGCTCAGACCGAAGTTTCTATGTATGAATGTTTGGGCTGAAGTCCATTAGCCACTGCGGATAACCGCGTAATATTCATAAACTGTCGACAGGCAGTAGTATACTTTAGGGTAAGGAGATTCGATACTAACAGCACAGGTACTAGCTGAAAGCCCATACACGCGTGTTTCGCCGATATTCTGCCGCTGCATGGCACAGCTGCGAGGGGTTCGGCTCTTCAGTGGGTCCCCAGCATTTGCCGTCTGCTTTCTGGTAGATACTCCAATTTAGAAATTTTCGCTTTTTAATCTCCTCAGAAATTACCTGCAAACTTGGAGTAGATCAGCATATTCTAGGTCTATAGGCTCAGACGGAAGTTTTTATACATAAATATTTGGGCCGAAGTCCGTCAGCTACAGCGCCTATCTTGTTGAAGACAAAAAACGATTCGATTTTCATGTCAATCCCCCGTCAGTACCAAGAGATGCGACCTCCACATCGACCACGCCGATGAACCCGGCATAATTTGCCACTGGCGCTCGGTGTTTGAGTGTTTGGGGCAGATTTTGTGTTTTTTTTCGATGAGCAAGTTCTGCTCCGCGGTTTCCGTTGTTTTTTTCATCAAAAGTTAAGGCCGCACCTAATTGAAGACACTTTTATCTGTGCTCTGGCCAGGTCCTGGTCAACGTTGTTGGTGCGTTGGGTGAAATGGCAGCCGACGTGAAAAATGTCAATCTGATCAAACGAACCAACGGCATTCCACCACTGGTGAGTCTTCTCACCGGCACAAATGAGGAACTCCTGGTGAACACTACTCGAGCACTTGGTCGCATTGCTGTGGATCCGGACAGTGTACCGTAAGTTCCAGCGCTTTCCTTGAAAATCACTCTGCGTACATAAGCGTGAGAGTCCATCTCCCAACCGGTACTGTCTTGCTTCCACAATTGGCTTACGCGCCAAACTTGCAGGCGAATTACATGTCCCATAGAAACCGTACTCGGCATTTTTACCATTGAGTTTCGATGGTGTTGCAAACTCAAATATATTTTGGAGAAACCACAAACAAAATTGGGCTTTCTTTTAGTCTTTTGACAGATAACCACGTTGTCTTTATATTTTATACCCGAGGAAGGAATATAATGAGGTTTCAAAAAAGATTCCAATTATGGGATTTTTTAAGACAACGCAATGTTCATTCACATAGCATCTAACCTGTCCGTTTATCACTGCTCCTCATGAAATGTACAACATAGTCTGCATCCATTGCAAAATTTTATGAACTCTATATGATATCTTTTTAAAGGCATAGAAGCATATATGATTTTCTTTGCGCGGAATGCATGCACCTTTTAGACTAAAACCACTAAGCGCTAATGCGCTTTGTTGTATTCAACAAAATGCCCTAACTAGTTTAATTGTGGTCTGGCCAACTCAGAGGGAGTGATGAGTGGCTACTTTCGGTTCGCTGCGGGAATGTGGACCACTCCCCGTGCTGTGGGTGGCCTTGCATCAAATTCTACGGGAGGAGGGGGGTACCTATTCCCCTGTCAAAACATCAACCCTACACTTTCGCATTCAGTGCAAGGCCACCTGTAGTGGGATGGGTCCATATTCTTATGCCCTACCATTGTTTTAATTTGAAAACACTTTATGTGTCTGTCATATTTCGCAGCATCATTGATCGCAACGACGGAATTCGCCTTCTGTGGTCGCTGTTGAAGAACCCAAATCCCGACGTTCAGGCTAATGCCGCATGGGCACTGTGTCCTTGCATTGAAAACGCAAAGGTGAGGATTTGTTAAATCAGCCCATGATGTGGCCACCATTTTTGCCGAACAATTAAGTTTTCGAGGGCGAGAATTTTGGGCATTAAAGTGTCTGTTGATTAGCTCAAATGGGAATGATATCGCTTACGTCTCGCATTTTCTTAAAAGCTGTTAGGACTGCTTACACGTAACCCTTTTCCCTACCTCATTGGGTGCAAGTCTGTGGAGAGTACTCGTAGACGGAATCTCACTAGATTCACGTACGTTCTATAAATGAACATGTTTAACCCGTTTGGTGGGTTTATGTGCAAAATTGGCCAGTATTCTGACGTAAATACTTGATACAGAAAATAAAGTTGCTGACGGGCGTTTCACCGAGACTGTGAGTTCTCAGTCTGTCTACTTTTTAACATCTTTGATCTTTTGGTACGCTGATGTATCCCACTCGGGAGCATTTGGGCAATTCTAGTGCCGGTAATGACTGTGGGAACTTATAAGCTCTGTACGTTTAAAGCATTAATGAAACGCGAGAGTGACGATAATTTCCAGTCAACAGCGCCTGCTCAACAGTTTCAATCCGTCCACTTGAACGATTATGGTTTCACAGCACCGGCCCCGATGGCGGATGTCACTTCCTATTGGACGTCAAAACCACCAGCACACCGTTAAAAAGCTCTTAAGGACAGACTTTCAGGGGCAAGTTTTGAGTACGCTTTCCTGGTCCCAAGTGGAAGTACATGGATTTCAATAGCCTTTCTTTTGCATACAATTACTTCACCTCTTGGTCTGTGCGTTTCCCGGCCCCACCTGTAAAATGCCCCATTACCACCAGTCCCGTATTACAGATGGCTGAGGTTTGTTTACTTCAGGTGTGACTACATAGCCATATCCGTTCGATATTTTATATAACGGAGTAATTTAAATGCAGATAAAAGTGCAAAAAACATGAACGCGGAATCATTGGAACAGCAAATACATTATACTTAGCTTCCGGTCCCCACTGTATGCGCAATGTGGGTACTGAAAGTAAAACAAGCCGAAGGGGAATGCTGAAACCGTTGGTGGGGGAAGTAGTCGGGGCTGGAACGGAAATGGCAACCTGATGTATGATAAGTCTGCTGCGAGAATCTCCGCAAAAGACCTGGCTGACAGGGCACGCGGGGCAGCAACGCCCAAGCCTAAATGTAGCCACAAGAATAAACCTAATGTTAATATTAGGCGGCGACCACCGATCGTTCTTACGGAACTCACTCGTTCCGTTGTGCCTTATGGACTCTCTCTCTCGAGCCCAACCAGCAGCCGCACAGCGGCGCATGATATAGGCAGAATGATATTACCGACAAAGACAAGGGAGACTGGAATGGCCATTTCTGGCTTATTAGCCGTTGTCAGCCAGTCATACCCAACCCCGAAGTGTGGCACGCCCGAGGCTCGAACTCGCGACCTGTTTTTTAGAAGTTCACGCCTCTAACCACTGAGCCACGAGCACGTTGCCATGTCGGTTTTCGATCGGGAATAACCAATGTTAGGGGGCGCTCACCGATCATTCTGCATGTATCATGCGCCGAAATGTGACTGCTGGTTGGGCTCGAGAGAGAGTCCATAAGGCACAACGGAACGAGTGAGTTCCGTAAAATGATCGGTAAGCGCCCCCTAACATTGTATATTCCCGATCGAAAACCGACATGACAACGGGCTCGTGGCTCAGTGGTTAGAAGCGTGAACTTCTAAAAAGCAGGTCGCGAGTTCGAGCTCCGGGTGTGCCACACTTCGGGATTGGGTATGACTGGCTGACGACGGCTAATAAGCCAGAAATGACCATTCCAGTCGCCCTTGTCTTTGTCGGTAATAGCATTCAGTAAACCTAATCCTTAACGTTATTATAAACCTAACGTTAATCCTAAACTTAACACAAACCCTAACCCTTAACTCCCTTCTAAACCAGGCAGTAACCCGAACCCTAAAACTAACCCTACCTCTAAACTGAAACGTCAGATTGTCCTTTCCTGTTTTAGCCTTGGTCACTTTCCCACTAAGGATTTCAGCATGTATTTGTACCCAAAAAACTGCACGACGTTTAATTATCTGCGTCCAGCCGATAACATAAATAACGAGCTGGAAGTATACAGCAGTTTTATATCGTGCAGAAAATCAATACAGAAACATCAATGTCATGGTTTGGGTAGTGGCGGCTGATCAGTAAAATTAGTAACTTAAAAACACGCATGCTTCAGCTTCGTACGTGGGAAAAATGCTTCAGATTTCAGCATCCCCCTTCGGCGTACTTTACCTTCAATGCCCGCATTGCGCTCACACTGGTGACCAGAACAGCGTAACCGACCCCTACCCTTTCCTGTTCCTTCAACAACACCGACGTATGTAAATAGCCACAAGCGCTGTCCTCTCCCAATTTGGAGGCTATTTCATTAGAAATTAGCGGTGTTGTGCAAAGGTTCCAATCACGAAGGCCGTCCTTGTGCTAGCCCTCTATTCCTAAACCGGAAAAGGGCTGAATGAGAGGACAGTCAGTGAATAAAAAAGCTCTCCTTCTGTTGGTGCCGCATGCCTTACGCCAGGCCGTTTCTGTCTTTAGGATTCTGGAGAAATGGTCAGATCATTTGTCGGAGGACTGGAAATTATTGTTAGTTTGCTGCATTCGGAGCATGTGAACGTACGAGCAGCGGTTTGCGGAGCCATCTCAAAGATCGCTATGGACGAGGAGAACCTGGCCGTCATTACGGACCATGGAGTCGTCCCTCTGATCTCGTCCCTCTCCCATACGGTAAGTAGGATCAACGGATAATCTCATCTTTTTTTTATTTAACCAGCCCAAAATCTGTTGCGATTTTATAGTAAAGCTAATTGCAGCCTGTATGTAGTCACAGTATGTTTTGTAGTTATCCTCTGCTCATGTAAGGCGAATCTAGGCGTGCCGTTTGACAATCCGTACCAAGAGCTCCCCTACACAGTTCCTGTTACAACACCAGACATCAATTCTGAGCTGTCGAACCATCCGAATGTGAAGAACGTGCACCTGGGACTATATATGAACACCTGGTGTAAACATACCTGCAACAGTCGACTAATGGCGTAATGTTCGCTTCTGCCGTCATCACAACTCCTCCTTACATAGATGCATTCATGTATTTTATCACTTTTTGCGAAAACTAAAGAGTTTGGCATTGCGAAAATAGAGTATCTGTAAGACAGAGAATGTATGATGGACGCTGGAGGCGAAATGGCCTGCCAAATCTTCCGACGCAAGACGTGATACGACGAACTGCATGAAGGGACTCTTGGTCACCCCCTGTGTCGCGCGCCCGGTGAATTAATTCCAACACATATGCATACATGTGATGGAAAATGATACACGAATCAGCTTACGCGACGCGCTTGTCCCGAGTGATTTACTCACGATCGCTAATAATCCAAAAGTTGCAACTCAACCTCTCTTGTATTTGTTAGTCTCCCTTTCTGCATATATATATATATATATATATATGTAGCTCAGAGGGGGTATGCATTCCGAGGTGATAAAATGAAAAATAGAAGTTCTTCGGAAAAGTCGAGTTTTACTCGTGAATTTTCGAGCTGGTGACACCAACCCGTCGTCAGACGTAATGAAAAACGAGGGAGAAAGTTATGTTGTCACAGTAGACCAGTTAGTGTGATAGGACAGAACAGACCACTGACGTGTGAGAGGGGGGTGGGGTGGGCTCCCGAGGTCATGGTAGGTCACTGAGTGAGGGGCGGGGAAGGGAGAGGAGACGGAACAATTACGGCGCACCGTGCTGGAGGGGGAGGTTGGGTGGTGAATCAGTTGGAATGCGGGCGGCTGTATTCGCGGTCGTTGGTGCGTGATTAGGGCAGGGGGCAGTCATTCGTGAACGTAGACCCTCGTAATGGGCATCTAAGTCAACGTGGCGGTTGATACTACCCGCATTGGAGTACCAAGCCTCGAGAAATTCCCTCGCTCGCTTTGTGTTAGCCATGGCGACGACCTCAGTGCCATCCCAATTGAATCGGTGGTCGTACTCGAGTGCATGGGCAAAGACGAGGGACAGGGGGTCTCGCCGACGGATAGCTAGTTTGTGTTCGTTGATACGGGTGCCCAGGCATCGACCTGTATGGCCAACATACACGCAAGAGCAATTAGCACACGGGATGCGATAAATTACGTTCGTTTGTTGCTCTTTGGGGATGGGATCCTTCACTCGAGATAGTGCTGCGAGTAGTGAAGATGCTGGTTTGTGGGCAAGGTGAATACCCAAGCGGCTGAACTGCCGGGCAATTATTTCAGAAGTTCCACGCATATAAGGCAAGGAGTAGAATTTTCGCGTCACAATCTCTCCGTTGGGGATGGGGTCTTGCGACTGTGTCTGGTGCCTGAGACAGTTCTTTACAAAACTGATTGGATACCCGTTAGAGCGGAATAACCGATACAGGTGAGCAAGCTCTTTGTTCAGGAGATCGTTGCTGTTACAATAACGGTAGGCCCGGTGGAACAGAGTTCGTACGCAGCTTCTTTTGTGAGCTGCAGGGTGGTTGCTTCCATAGTTGAGGATAATCTCGGAGTTAGAGTCTTTCCTATGGACGCTTGTTGACAGGCTACCATCGCTCAACTTCTGTATTCTCACGTCCAGAAACGGCAAGCTGTCTCCAATTGCCTCTTCGCGGATAAACTGTATGGCTGGGAAGACGTCATTCAGTCTCTGGTGAAGACGCTCGACTTCGCACTTCTTTATTATGACAAAGGTGTCATCAACGTAACGAAGCCATAGTTTAGGCTTGATAGTTTGGAAAACTATCTCTTCTAGTCGGTGCAAAACTAGTTCGGCGAGCAGTCCTGATATTGGTGAGCCCATCGGGGTTCCCTTTACCTGTTGATAGTACCTATTATCAAATTGACAATAGTTCCTAAGGCACAGATTTAGCAGTTCAATAATGTGCTGCGTTGGGATCTCAATAGGATTGTTCTGTAGGCGTTGGGCTACGCATTCAATCGCCAAATCGTGTTGTATGGAAGAAAACAAGGCAACGACGTCAAAGGACAGGAAGCATTCATCGGTACTTACTTTGAGGCCTTGTACCCTGCGGAGGAACGCTTGAGAGTTGTTAATGCTGTAGTCCGATCCATGAGTGAGCCGCTTCAGACGACTGTATAACCACTTAGCCATATTGTAAGTGGGTGATCCGATAAGTGGCACTATAATCCTCAGGGGGACATCCACTTTGTGCACGTTCGAATACATATGTGTATCACGAATGGAAGAGAATATGCGCATCCCAGGTTCTTGTTTAAAAGAAGAAGAAGGCGAAGGCACGATCACTGGGACAGTGATCGTGCCTTCGCTTTCTTCTTTTAAACGTATGTGTGTATTTTGTGGAAGGGGGGGGGACGTTCATTGACCAGGTTAGTGGACGTGCTGGTCCCGTTGTGCCATGAGCTCAATATTGGGTGCTTGTAGACAATAGCTTAGCGACCTGTAATGTATGTAGATAAGGGATTGCCGACAAAGATAAGGAAATCTGGAGTGACCATTTCTGACTTATTGGCCGGTTTCCCTTGTCTTTGCCGATAATACCTTATCTACCTATACTGTTAGTCGTTACGCAACTGCCTGCTGGGTTAAAGATCAAATCTCAGATCACAACGAGACAAAGGGGAAGCATAATTTGATCGTTAGCCGCTTTTCCAAAAATAGACGAACTGCCGAAAAAGCCAGAATAAATTCTGGCAAGGATGCTCGAGACTGCCGTATTCATTTCTGACTTGCTAACTGTCGTAAGCCATCCCTAGCCCATCGCGGATTCTAGATATCCCCAGACTTGAGCCCAAGCTCCTGGGTCCAAGAACCTGCCTTTAAACCGCAGTGTCATTTTACGGTCATTCACCACTCTCACAGTTGATTAAACAAACATGCATATTTATATGTACTATGTCAAGATAATTATCTTATCAGACTCTTTTTCGTAGGGGGACTTAAAGCCGAACAACTCGCAGACGAGCACCTTTAATGTTCTGAACCTCCGTCGGAATTGTTATCACCGCCCCACCCTCTTTCCAGACAAATCGAAACTCCAGATATGACTTATGCACGAATGCGCTAGCGCCAATTTGATTTATTTTCCTTCAGAAAAACGATATTCTTCGTCGACCGCTGGCGGACGCAATTGCCCGATGCTGTTGTTGGGGCACTAATCGCAGCGAATTTGGAAAGGCCGGTGCGGTGAGACCGCTTGTCGGCTACCTCAAGTCAACAGACCCTGATGTCCACTGCTCCACAGCTAAGGCTCTCTACCAGCTCAGTCGTCAGCCCGAGAACTGCATGGAAATGCACGCCGCTGGAGCCGTTGACTACCTCCTAGAAATGGTCGGCTCAAAGGTTAGAGAACCCCCCCCCCGCTCATACTTTTCTTTCCCCTTAACTGATAACAGTCGTCTTTCCTGCATGCGTTTGACCCTAGGAATTGGATATTCCTGTTTCATTTTTCCGGAATAAATTGAAAACATAAATAGAATGTGAACCCTGCGCTGAACGCACACGGAAGTAGCTCATGTGAGGTTTATTTACATCCGAGCGAGGCGAAATGGGCGTAAATATTTCATGCAGGCAAATGCTCTACATTAATGCACGAAGAGCACTGTAATAATTACGATCAAACGGAATCTCTGAGTTTCTTCTCTTCACTTTAGTATATTTGCACTTTTGGTGTGCAGGAGGGGAAACCTTATGCGAAATCAAGTACAAGTTGAAAAATCGATTCAATCACGACTGCTACTGAAACCACAGAGTCGATATACTCTGCTACTGCGCAAGGGAGTTAACATTTGCGAATAAGAGCAAGATGTGGATTGAGATGAACGGAGAGTCTGAACCGTGGTTTTGTTTGATCACTAAAAACAGATTAGAAACGCGTAAAGCTAAGACTACGTTCCTCGGAGTGAACCGTTATGTTGATCAGGAAATCAACGTAACCTTCAGAGCATAGGTGAAGTACTCTCACTGTCTGGTTTAGCAGTATATCCTGCTGCTCCTAAATAGGGACCTCCTTAAGCTCACAAATATCGTTATATCTTATGTGGATATCACTTTTATCGAAGGATCGTGAAAGTTTTCTTCTATTATAAGGTTTATATGGCTGAGTGATTCTCTTTGAACTGCAGTATCAGAAGCAACAAGCTAATTTAGCACAGTATTTCAGCATTTACGAACGGTCTTATGTATGTATACATGTTTCCCGTTATCACTCCGAAAGCTCTCTTCATAAGTGTTGACTTCAAAAAGTTGCTACACGTTGTAAGCAAGCTTAGAACGTGGGAAAACTGGACTACAAGGAAGAAACCAGTGATACGGTGACTTCTGGGCTTGACATCACATATGTTTGTGTTAGATGTCTTCGGCCGTGCCAGCCTCCACTCTTCTTGTTGGTGTTGGTAAAAATCCTGACCATTTGTTGAGAGGACCAGGGGGTGCGGTGTGGAGCGCCAAGGTGAGGATCCGTCCAAGCCATCCACCTGCGGCCTCCCTCGTCTCCGGTCTTATTGACTCTGCCTTGACACCGGGCTCAGGCGGGGAAGGAGGAGAGAGTGTGGTAGATGCAGCGCAAGTCTACTGGCACTATAAACTCCTGCGAAAGTCACCGTCCCTGCTCCCACCACCTGCTATGGGGCATACGGTGGACATCGTCGAAATCGACGGTCGGACTATCGTGTGTTAGAGGGACCCTCGCAGGCAGTCGCATAGCACCTATTAGTATAAACGGAATAAGGTTGCCGGACCAGTCTATAATCTCATTCGGCCATATATATATATATATATATATGTGCATATATTCTGTTGGAAGCGTGTTCCCTGATCAGGTGACGGGACATACCCATCTCAGTGTGGCTTCGGATCCAATAAAGAACTCTTGCAAGCAGTCACACATCAATCAAGAATGAATGATGAGGGGGGTCTCGACGAAAACGAGGGAGATAAGGATGGCCATTTGTGACCATTGGCTTCTTGACCCGATTGGTAGACGTATTCTGATTGCAGCCAACTGGACAAGAAGTTCGTGGCTCAATCGGACCCGGATTCGAATTTGGGTCGGCCAAACCTTGGGCGAAGCATGTTTGGCTGATGATGGCTACCACGCCAGAAGCGACCGTTTCATTCCCCTTGTCTGTCGACAATCTCGTCCTGAGTCCTGGTGAAGGGGCGCTCATTGATCACGCTACGAGACCTACTCGCAATACATACGGATTAAGATTAGTAAAAAAATAAGGGAGACTGTGATACCCATTTCTGGCTTTCCAGCCGTCATCAGCCAGCCTCACCCGACCCCGGGTTTGGTTGCACTCGAGTTCTGGTCGCAACCGATGGGCTGACAAGCCCATGACCTCAGTGGTTAGAGAGTTTAACTAATAAACAAAATAGCGGGCTTTGAGGATTCAGGTGCAGTCAAACCTGCGGTTAGGTGCCTTACGGGCTCTCTCTCGAGCCCAACCAGCAGCCACACAGCAGCGCATGATATAGGCGGAATAGCATTACCAACAAAGACAAGGGAGACTGGAATGGCAGACATGTGCATTCTATCTAACAACATTTTGAGCATTATTTACTGCCCGATTGCCCTCCCTGCCGAACCGTTTTAAAATGAACTTTCCTCTTACTGACGAATCACGTGTGGATGGGTGCAGAACAATGAACTGATATAGGCATTTCGGGACAGTGAATGTCATTCTGTAGAAGAAGGGCCGGTCAAAACCTCTACCGAACAACGCCTACTCTTAAAAATTATTGCAGGCCTTTGTCCATACTTTTTCCTTTCCCCGCGCACATACTTAACCCTCACCGGTTACACCATGCTTCTGAGATTGCCGGTCAGTCCTGTGCCGAGGGCAAGTGCTGTATAGGCTGGTGTTCCCTTCCTAACTGCAATTAGTATTCAGAACGCAGTCGGTTGTCTGCCCGTTGAAAACACCTCTTAACCCAGTTCACCTGGACTTTCCTGCCCATAGAACGCTGAACTGCAGTCCGCTGCAGCTGCCTGCATCAGCAACATTCGACGACTGGCACTGGCCACGGAGAAGGTGCTCCAGGAGAGACGAGTCAAGGCACAGGCTGAGTACCTCAGGCAACTGGCCCATCAACGCCAGCAGTTGGAGGCCGGTGGCAAACAGGCTGGCAACGAGGAAGGTGGCGAGGAAGAGGAGGAGGAAGAAGAGGAGGAAGAGGAGGCGACTGCAGGCAACACCGTGACAGCTGCAGCCTAGGCCGCCACCAACACTGATGTTTGCGTATGGTTTCATGACAAACTACTGTGTTCGCGCTGGTACTCAGCAGCGAGTATACATGTGCATCAGTGAGCCTCGGCGCATCGTCTTCTCTCTCTCTTTTTTTGATCACCTTTGGACGGGTGCACATCGTCTGGCTCCGTGTCGTCGGCCCTGCAGCAGCTGGCTCGGCTGCTTTGAGGACAAATCAGATTGTGATCTACCTCTCTAGCTTTGTCTTATGTCAGTGTCGGGTGTCGGGGGGATTTTTTTCTGACGAATTTGATTTCGCGTTTGATGGATGACTGCTTCTGGTTACTGTTACTGTTGCAAACAAGTTCTATTAGGGCCATCGAAATTTAGACCTCACATTCACATAGATATCAAGGTAAGAGTATGACATATTAGTTGAGTGCGTTTGTTTTTGAGCATAGGACCTACAGTAGGTTGGCTAACTCATGAAATGTAAACCGAAATTCCGAAATGCATTTTCGTTTCGAAAAGATTAATTAAGTAGTATTGCAAAACTAGCCAGCATGCAACATAATTCTAGAATATTTCAGTTACCTCAGGATGCCGACTTTCGAGTGAACTTCCTTCCGGCTGCATGCAAAAACTAGACTCTGTAAAAAATGACTTCGAGCATAAGGTTGGAAGAAGACGTAATTTTCTACCGAATGAGCAGAAAAATGAATATTTTATGCATCTTTTCCGTGAAGTATAACTGGACTTTTACGGGCATCAGTGAGCCGCAACGCATCGTCTTCTCTCCCTTTTTTAATCACCTTTGAACGGGTGCGCATCGTCTGGCTTTGTGTCGTCGGCCCCGCAGCATCTAGCTCGGCTGTTTTGAGGACAGACCAGATAGTGATCTGCAGTAAGTGCGCTAACTCATGGAATGTCAACCGAAATTCCGAAATGCGTTCTCGTTTCGAAAATATTAACTAGGCAGGGTTGTACAATTAATCATCATGCAGCATAACTCTACAATGGTCCAGTTACCTCAGGGTGTCGGCTTTCGAATGAACTTCTTTCTGGGTGCATGCAAAGACTACACTTTGCAACAAATGGCTACCTAAGTAGCATGCCGTTTTCTCATTGATTTTCGATGCCTCTTAATGTCTAATTATATTTCATGAAAAACATGTATGAAACTATTCATTGCTTTACTTATTCGGTATAAACTTACGTTTTCTTCCGAATTTATACTCGAAAATGTGTATAATTCGGTTTCAAAATGGTTTCTAATTGTGAGACTTTTAAATACCTTGAAATGGTCGTTCATATATCGTCATGTATCTGCATTTACCAACGTGGCTTGTAGAGTTAACAATATTGCCAAAATCCACTGCTAAATTTTATGAACCCGATATGCTCTCCCCTTAATACCGTAGAGAAATGCATGGTTTTTCGTACGCGGAAATTATACGGCTTGTAGTTTGGAAACCCTGAATGTAAGTGTAGCGGCAGGTCGGGTTCAAAACTATTCGGGAATTGGAAAGGTTATTAAAAACCGAATTATACTCTTCCTGCGAGTATAAAATCGGAAGAAGACGTGATTTTCTGCTGTATAAGTAAAAGACTGAATATTTTTATGCTTGTTTTCCATGAAATATAATTGAATTCTCAAGGGCTTCGAAAATCGATGACAAAATTGCATGCGACATCAGTAGTCATTTTTTGCAGAGTAAAGTTCTTGCATGCAATCGGAAATAAGTTCGTTCAAAGGCCGAAACCCTGAGGTAACTGATTATAGAATTATGCTGCATGATGATTAGTTTTTCAGTCCTTTTTAATTAATCTTTTCGGAACGAGAACGGATTTCGGAATTTCGGTTGACATTTCATGAGTTAGCCCACCTACTGTACCTCTCCAACTTTGTCTCATGTCAGTGTGGGGTGTCGGAGGGATTTTTTCTGACGGCATTTGATTTCGCATTAACTGGATGACTGTTTCTGGTTACTGTTACTATTGCAGTCAAATTCCATTAGGGATACCTCACCTCCACATAGCTATCAATTTAGGAGTACGACATATTATTTAATTGCGTTTGTTTTTGAGCATAGGACATAGGCCAAGAGGAAGTAATTTACCGTCGCATGTTGGCTTTCCACCGAGTTAAATTTAAACTATCTCTACTGCCTCCGCTATGAATAAAGATTTACTCAACTGATACATGCAGTACACAAATTTTCGTGCAGCATAATCCAAATATATATATCAATCATGCCAGAATGCGGGCTCTCGAATGCACTTCTTTTCAGTCGTTTGCGTAAACCACGCTTTGGTAGAAATGTCTGAATACGTAGCATAAATGTTTCCTTTGGTCTTCTATGCCTTTATAATTTCAAATGAATTTGTGAAGAAAACCGAAAATGACGTTCTTGTAGGGACATTTCATCAAGAATATACGGTATAAGACTCATAAAATGTTTCAATTGACGTGGGCTATGTCGTATTAGTGAGGAAAGTGAGGGAAGTGTACTGCTTAAGTCTCACACGACCGCTACCTTCCTCAAATTTAGTAAGCACTCTGGCGATCGCTTGTGTCTTTGAAAAAACCAGCGTGCGGTGTAGAACTGTTTGCAGGCGTGTTGGATCTCGAGAGCCTTGTGTCGATTTACTTGTGCCAGGCAGTTGTGAATTAGTTATCAAAAAGCGAAATAGAGGGGCTCATTGAGAGGAATTGATAAACTCGTGTTACTTCGAAAGCGTACAAGTCTCTACTACTCTCGGCAAAGTCCCTACCGCTCCAGAGTATTCAAGAGCTCCTCTGCGGGAACAACTTTGTCGATCCTTGGGAAATCCGTTTTGGCCCAAAGGCTAAAGTGGACAAACATTATGTCATTACCTATCCTTCATACAGTGAGTGACCTATCTCATGAAATGTTGGCTGAAATTCTGAAATGCGTTTTCGACTATGAAGGATTACTTGGTCGCGGTTGTGATACTGATTATCTTAAGGCATACCCTTATAACATTTCGGACTCGACAGGATGTCGGCTTTTAAATGCACTTCTTTTCAATCTCCTGTAGAAAGCGTGCTCGGCAAAAAATGACTACTTATGTAGCATGCATTTTTCCCATTGATTTTCGATGGTCTTGCAAATTCAAATATATTTTATAGAAACCATGAACACAAATATGTTTTCTTTTAGTCAATCAGTAGAGAATCATGTCTTCTTTATATTTTATACTTTAGAAAGGAGTATAATTAGGTTTTAAAAAAGTTTCTAATTATGAGATTTTTTAAGACCGCGAAATGTCAATTCACATAGCATCGTACCTGGCCGTTTACCACTGCTCCTCATGAAACGAAGAACATGGTCCGAATTCATTGCAAAATTATATGGACTCTGTATGATATCTCTTTAATGGCATGGACAAATATGTGATTTCCTTTACGCGGAACGCATGCACCTTGCAGACTGAAATTACTAAGCGCTAATGCAACGAATGATCAGGCTCCTAATTATTCGGCAATTGGAAAACTTTTTTAAAACCTAATTATACTCCTTTCTAAAGTATAAAATATAAAGAAGACATGATTCTCTACTGATTGACTAAAAGAAAACATATTTTTGTTCATGGTTTCTATAAAATATATTTGAATTTGCAAGACCATCGAAAATCAATGGGAAAAATGCATGCTACATAAGTAGTCATTTTTTGCCGAGCACGCTTTCTACAGGAGATTGAAAAGAAGTGCATTTAGAAGCCGACATCCTACCAAGTCCGAAATGTTATAAGGGTATGCCTTAAGATAATCAGTATCACAACCGCGACCAAGTAATCCTTCATAGTCGAAAACGCATTTCAGAATTTCAGCCAACATTTCATGAGATAGGTCACTCATTGTATCTGTTGGCATGCCGCCCCAGATGGGAACTGTTTTGGGTAGTCGAGATGAGAGGCCGTAGTTGTTGGCTAATAGCGACTCCCACAGCGAAATTAATGCACTTTCTCTCAACAGAACAAGCGACAGTTATAGGGCGTGCTAGGCAGTCATAGATTGATGGCTCAATACTGGAGGTTACCGCGCAGGACTTTGTACGCCGGCGCCAGATCGATAAATCGATTGACCGAACTCTTATCCGAGGCCCAGGTTTCCGGCATTTCTCAGCCTGTTTCGGTTCCAGCTTGGGTTATTATTATGGTGGCTGTGAAGTTAAGCTCGCGGCCCAGTCCGTATGTGTGGGCGGCCACATGTTTGATGGCACGCCTTAGACGTAAGCCTTCACACCGTGTCACTCGCTGCACCCAATCCCATCACAGGGTGATTGACAGACTTGGATGGGCGACTGATGTGGCGGGAAATAGAAGAGGCGGTGGGCCCGACATTGAGGGGAATCAATTCTGATGGCAGATCAGCGCATTCCCCACTAAAATAACTTGGACGCGCTCGAAATGATCACAACGCGCTGTGAGTCATAGCTTTAAAGACTGCTATCTGATGGGATAACTAGATTGTCCTCAGAACTGAGGGATCGGCTGCAGGGTTCCCTCTAAGTATGTCTTTTGTAGCGCCCTTGAGTCCGAGCAGCCTTCGAGAAAGCCTTCTACACCTCGTTGGGGCCAGACCGTGTGTGGTACGCGTAGACGGCTTGTTTAGCCTCGTCGGCCACAGAGTCCAATTCCGCTCGTTCTGATTTCATCACTTCATCGGGTGAGGGGAACAGGGACCGCTGTAGATTATGTGCAAATCTTCTCCACTATAAAATAATCTGCGCGCAAGTCTTGATCTGCATCCACTCCGTAGGGCACACATTGAGGCCGTCGTCGCCTGTCAAAACTGCCCTATTCTGGAAGGCTGTGTAATTGCAAAGCTTCAAGTTATACCGATTTTCTCCTAAGCCAATTCCTCTTCAAGTCCTCGGTGTGTAGTCGGTCGTCATTGTTTATCCGCATAATATATTTGTTCGGCGTCCTGCCTGAGACAACTGCTCAGGAAGGATTCCTCGCTGGTCTGTCTTTCGTCTTCTCCTGCTATCCGGCACTTGGTCTGATCTGGTGTGTCTGTTCCGCAGTCGATCAGACTGAGATCAACTTAAACCACGCACAATAAGTTCGTTTCGTCTACTGTCAGAAGTCAGGCAGCTGTGAGGACAAGTTTATTCTGTACACAGGGCAGATTGCCGTAAGTTGGCTGTTTGCTTGCAACAGAGCTAAGCGTCCGTTCATGGACTGTGTCAGTCGCGGTGTGTGTTGTTTACGCGGGAGTGGGTGTCTGGGTCAGCATGAGGGGTGACTGGCTGAGTGTTGGTCGTGTGATTGGGCAAATTAGGGAAGGAATAAGGGGCGCATGCACACAATGCCTCACGGGTATCAGGCCAGGGCGTTAGACGCGCGTGGGGTGATGAAAGTTTGTGAGGTCAGCCGACAGTCACTGAAGTTGGACCGGAGGTGTGTGAGTGTTAGCCGGCGGGGGTGGCTGTGTGTCAACAGCTGTCGGGGCCATTGTTTGACAAGACGCAGCCGGAGAAAAGGGGGGCTGGAGCGGCTGTTACAAGGACGTTGGTGCAGCGGAGCCTTGAACAGGAAAGTTGACAGCGCAACGATGGTGGTCCCTTGCATGACTCACTATACATTACTTTCTGACTCTCGAGTCTGTTTTTGTCTACGGTTTACAAATAGTTGGCTGCTAACATGCGGAACACCTAAAATATGATTATTTCACAGACCTTCAAGGATCTCGCGCGGGTCGAAGAACAGCCTGAACTCTTTACAGGGAGAGTGGTTCTTTAAATTTTGTGCGACTATGCGATGCAACGAGACACCCATAAAAGAACCTGGAGAGCGTCCGTATCTAAATCTGCGTCAACTGATCAACCAGCTCTGACTCGAACTGGTTATAGACACGAAGCGGGGAGGTCTATCAGATAACGACGCTTGTTTATGCCATAATCCATAGTCAGTTTGTTTAAATACACTAAATACATCCGGGGTCCCCAAATGGTCAATATTAACCGCCCGCCAGCCGAAGACTGCAGTTCCTCTCCCGTAGGAGAGGATCATAAGGACTTTCAAATGTTTTTGTAAGTTTCCAAATGACAATGTCGTAGTGTGCACATAGTGGCTCATCCATGAAGCATGCTGAAACCTACTAATTCTCAGGGACCGAAGGCGGTGATCCGTTCTTGAGGAGTAAATAATACATTTACAGTATGACCTGTGTTAAATCATTCCATCTTGTACGTCGGAGGGACACAACTGGGCTGGAACAACTAAAAAGACTAAGGAAATCAGTGTACTGAAAAAAGATGCCCCCTCCACCGCCCCTCCCCCGAACTCTGCTTATGGCACAGACTTTCTATTCAAAAGCCGTTTGTGCGAAAGAGTGAAAACGGCCATTACGGTTTGGTTTTCTTAGCCAATAAATTTGATCATCATGGTTGTAGAATTCTTGGTAAATTGAGTCACGCGTATAAGCAAAAACAGATTTCGGTGTATATAGGGTACTAGTGATATAATAAGGTAATAATAGAAAACGTACATACCTCAACAATGGATATCCTAGACAAAGAATTTCTTTGTTACTGTTCGAACAAATCGAATTTTCAGCTCAAGGTCAGAATACAAAAACTAGTTAATTACAAGAACGCGATCGCGTTCGAAAGAGGGTTACAAAAGAGGGGAAGGGGAATGTCAACAGGGGCCAAATGTGGAAGCACTCGCGAGGAGGGCGTGAAGAATTTAAGGCGTTGAACAGCTGGATACAGTAATGGTGTTGATGCTTTCAATATTGTAGCTCCGTGCAGCAGCAGATGAAGTCTGTGTGTTTGCTATGACCGCTGGCACTCCTTGGCTAGCACGTGCGGATGGCGAGAGAGGGTTAGGCGACCGGAGGTGTGAGCTCGGGCGCATTGGCTGAAGAAGATAAACGGCCAGCTCATGCGTGCCACACGACGTGGTATCCACTCCGGGTGTACCAGGCTAGGGCAGAGGATGCTGCTCGGATCTCACGTGGATGGGAGCGCCATGAAGATCGTACTGAGAAGGAGCTATTGCAGCCTAGCCATTAGCTGTGCAGAAGGTCGCGTTCTCTTGTCAGTTAAGGCCTGATTTACCGTGGGCATGGATTTCCCTGTGCCGGTTTCGGCCACGCGCCGCCTGAGTGTCCCAACCCGCCAATCAACTGATGGTGGGATTGGACTCGGAGGCACGCCGTCTGCAGTTTACCATAACTTCTGATTGGCTTTGTTTCATTGCGTGCTCTAACAGCACTCACCAACTGCATTTAGTCGTCCAGGCGTAGACATTTACTGGCCCGTTTGACTTACAGGATAGTTCAGGGCTAGTAACCTGACTGGCTGACAGTGCTCGATCTCTGCGAGGAAAGGAGCTTTTCTGTCACACCCCCTCCTCGATGCTCACCGGAGTGCATTTCGCACGTCACCTCTGGGGGGTCCCTTTGCGCGTACGCACGCATGCAGGGTGCATGCAAGCACTTTGTCCGGAATTTAGGCCTCTGGCTGGCGACTTAAATAGCCTCAGGCTACAACGCCCTCAACTCGCCCGAGCAGGCGCGTTAACCTTCTGTCCCCGGGTGGACAGTGTCCGCTATGATTGCCGAAAGAATCCAGCCAATCGTAACACTAGCCCGCGAGCGGGTGACCGGGCTAGCCCAGGGCGAGTAGAATACTATCAGGGCGGTTGACTACATGGGTCTGACACGCGTCCGGACTTCGCGGGCCGCGCACACTTGACCGGACTTTCGACTATGCTTGATATCAAACCTATCCTCTCGTCTTTCCACCCTGACGTCTAACTCGGGAGAGGTTGGGCAAAGTTGCTCAGCTCCCTAGTCATATCCGACAAAAAACTGGATCAGTGCGAAGGAATGTACAGTAGGTGGGCTAACTCATGAAATGTCAACCGAAATTCCAAAATGCGTTTTCGCTTCGAAAAGATTAATTAAGTAGGGTTGTAAAATTAGTCAGACTGTAGCATAATTCTATAATATTTCGGTTACCTCAGGGTGCCGGCTTTCGAACGGACTTCTTTGTAGCTGCATCTAAAAACTGCACTCTGTAAGAAATGACTACTTATGTACCGTGCATTTTTCTCATTAATTATCGATGCCCCTAAACGTCCAATTATATTTCATGGAAAACATGCATAAAAATATTCATTCTTTTGCTCATTTGGTAGATAATTACGTCTTCTTCCAATCATATACTTCAAGGAGGGAAATAATTCGGTTTTCGAAAAGTTTTCCAATTCCCGAATAATTTTGAACCCGCTCTACCGTTACACTTGCATTCTGGGTTTCCAAACCACAAGTCGTATATTTTCCGCGTACGGTAAACCACGCATTTCTCTACGGTAATAAAGGAGTACCATATAAGATTCATAAAATTTGGCAGTGGATTTGATCCATATTGTTAACTTTACAAGCCATTTTAATGGACTAATAATAATGGCGCGGGGGGGCTGGCTGGAAACGTCAAGTGAGGGTTCAACCCACGCAAGCGACGACGTCCATTAAATGCTCCACGAAGTAGGCGCAGCACCCGTGACAGGCGTGCAAAGTTGTTTGTAGTTGGACGGACTTGTGCACCATCTACTGCACTCTCTCCTCTCTCATCGAACGTGCTCCGATAGCGGAACAAAGTTAAGAAAGACGGAGATGGGAGAGGGTGCGGTGACTGACAAAAAGCCCTAGCCCGTCTACGCGTGCCAAACACACAGTCTTATCCCCACTCCGGCTGCACTGAGACACGGTAGGGCTGACAAACATGCACGTATACACCAACGGCTGCCGTTGGTGGCCCTGTGCCGTTGGTGCTCCCATCGCCTCTGGCCACTCACTGAGCAGAGAAAACTCTGGCTGATTTTCGGCCAATCACTGATACCCAAACTGGCCAATCCGCTTCAAGGCCTAGCAACAGTAATCCGTGCTTCCTCCGACAAACGTCATGAAAACCAACACTTGCTAGGGAAGGGAGGGTAGTCGCATACGCATGGAATCGAATAAGGGGAGGCAGACTCACAGTATCCCCTCTTTTTCCTTTCCCATGAAGTTCAAATAGGCAAACTGGGTCGCGATGGCTAAAGGTAAACTTGGAATCAAGAGCCAACCAGACAGCAACTCCACCCCGTGCGTGTCGCACACATGCAGCTCCCTCAACGGACACCCACCGAACTTTACCCGAACACTTTCCCATTAACGGAATGATGACCTCGTTTTCAGTCGGACACAGCATCAGCAAACACTCGGTGGGCGGGGAGGTGGAGGCACAGACCGAAATACTCCACATGCCTTTTTTGCAGAAAATGATAATCTTTAGCCCACAGCTAGCGGTTTGTGGTTTCTGCGTTAACTAATAGTGCTGCTGCTGCTGCTGCTGCTGCTGCTGCTGCTGCTGCTGCTGCTGCTGCTGCTGCTGCTGCTGCTGCTGCTGCTGCTGCTGCTGCTGCTGCTGCTGCTGCTGCTGCTGCTGCTGCTGCTGCTGCTGCTGCTGCTGCTGCTGCTGCTGCTGCTGCTGCTTCTACTACTGTGTTCCTAGAATTGAAAAAGGTACATGGGAAGAGACTGTCCATCAACACGGCTGTCATTTATCCCTGTCTATCCCCCAGTTTTGCATTTTTGCCCCAATTCAAAACTTGCTGTGCTGATTTGTACTTTAGGTCACTAGACATACCAAGCATGTGCGAGACTTGTACACGCTTAGTGACCAAGTTTAAGAAACAGATGGAGACGAATGCTGGAGTTCCAGGCGTACGTATTGGTAGAAAAGGTATAAACTGATTGAGTAAAGGAACTATTTGTATCCTTTCCAGGTATTTGCATTCGCACAGGGGTCCATCGCCAGAGATGACTGCAGAAACAAAACAAGTCACAATTATAAGGGGTATTAGTCAATCATCGGTCAGTGATGCAGGTCTGGAGGTAATTATACAGGGCTCTGTATGCCGATACCCGATCGACAAATCGAGTAAGTGAGTTCTCATTGAGGTCTAGGATTCAGACGATTCCCGGCCCGTCTTACTTCCGGCATGGAAGATTATCCTGTTGGCTGCTAAGTTGGACTCTTGATGTTCCGGAAGATGTGGACAGCTACCTGTGAAAATTCAAACTTGAGTCATTGACCACCGATTGTTTAATGCCCCCTATAATTGTCTCCTATTCTGGTAGAGGTTAGAGGCTAGGTTTGGGGGTAAGTGTTAGGGGTTGGGACTAGGGGTTAGGCTGGGGTTTGTCTACTGGTGGTACGGTTACAAAATAAGATCTGAACTGTGATTCAATTGTTTTTCCCAAGATGACCTGTTAAATTTCAAAACTGTGGTAGACTTTATGAGCATCCTGTGATACCAACGATAACGGTATTATATAAATGCATATAGACTTTATTTTAGGCGTCTGTGCGCGACCTGATACTACCCATCAGACAACGGCGAATAGGCAAACAGGAAAAGGCGAGGAATCAGAGCATGGACCAGAAGCCAGGGAAGACCCGTACTCCTAATTACAACTCAAAAGACCGACACATCGCGTTCCTGCTCGTGTAGCAAGCCTCTCAGGACGGAGAATGAGGATGTAGTGGCATTCATGGTAATTCCACTCAGCTCGGATTCGTGCGATCCCCGTTTTCTTGTATGACACTCTGGTCCTTTGTGTGTGGACCAAGCGGTGTGATGGCACACCTGGGTGCGGATTCACGCCGTGACAGCCAGATCTGACCTCCAATCTTCTTGACTATGCCTTGACACCGGATTCAAGTGGGTGGGAAGTGATAGTGCGGCATATGCTGTGCAAGTCCGACATCACTGAAGACTAATTCATGTACAATTTACCGCCTCTGTGTCAACCACGCCCTGGGTCACACGCCTGACATCGTTGGAATGGGTGGTCGAACTGTCGTCGTCGGCTAGATCGGAAGGAGGTTGCTGTCTCTGCCGGTCTATCTGGTGCCGGAGGACCAGAGGATCACGTGACCCGCGTAATAGTCGGTAGTTGTGAGAGTTTTTTCCACGGGTGGAAACGTCTGGAGTCGTTTATCGGATCTGTTGCAGTTGCGAACAAAGCAATTACGTCAAAGAAACCGGAAGACAGCTCCGAACGCGAATGATCGAACACGCTGCAGCGGGGCGGAGGAATGACGCCAGCTCTCAAGTTGCGGCTCATTCGACGACATTCGGCCACACTCAAATTCGACGAGGCCGAAATTCTCGCAAGAGATGACGACCGCGTGAGCCGGGAGCGACTTGAATCATGGTTTACTGGCCCCAGTCCATTAACAAGTGCAATGAACTTTCCCTTCCATACTCCGTGCTGAGACTCTGTCTAGGCGGAGTAATTAGCCACGCTGGAACTGCACAGGCGAACACTGGTCCCAACGCATGGGTTGGTGGGTCCGATGGTCGAGCCATCATCACACCAACATCCAACGCACATGATGAAATTGCAGCAAGTAACGACGCGAATGTCGATCATCAAACAATTAGCACACCAAGTGCGACGATCCCGAATGAAGGGGGGAGCCGGGAATGTTCATAGGCATGCGGTAGCATGGCGACTGCATCCTATAAATACTGCAGCTCCTTGTGCATGAAGCATCCGTATCTGCTTTTTTCCCTAATGATGGATTCGAGCGGGAATGCGAAACGTCAGGCTAATAAAACCCTTGTCCCAGCGATCGTGTCCCCTTCTTCAAGTTTGGAGAGTGAACACTTATTCGATCCCTCATGGGTGTCTTGGTCCTGCAGATCGTCCCCCAGTCTGCGGGACTGGGATCTTTTCCCCGCACTGATAGGGCGACGTCGACCACTCGCACACACTCCGAATGATCCTCACGTTTCGCCGTTGTAATTATTTCATTCATATATTAAGTACGATCCCTGAGCAAGCCAACAAATGATCGAGAATAGGAAACTTGGTGAGGACTTGTACATGAGTCCTTGTCACATCCTTGTCTGAATGTCACGTTCTGCTAAAAACTAGACGTCGCTTTGTCAGATCATATAGTTCCGAAATTTCTGCCTTTAGATCCGGATGCCAACTGAGAGATCTGTTTGACGCCTAACCCAGGGAATTTGTACTTTTATGATAATTTTACGAGTGTAACTCTGTGAATAGTGCCCGTTTATCGGTAATTTCTTCTGCTCCGGCGCCATGGTGTTTGAATTTAACGCCACGCTTCAGCAGTTGTGGCTTTGAATTTTGCCATCAAAGAAGCACAGCTGTTGTTCCTTTCTTCCATGTAGCAGGTCTGTGTTGAGCAGTTACGAGGCATCTGCAGTATGTTCCACCTGACGATAACAAACGCGTAATTGTTGACGTAACAGCCCCAAAAGACCGGCTCATCCTGGTATCACCTCTGACAATTAACCCTCGTAGGAGTTCGGAAGTTCAAGCAACAATCCGATGATTACGGTGCGAATTTTCAACATGTCCTTTTCGCGCCTTCTTGTTTGTTGCCGACAGCCATCATGGCCCTGTCTGGCGCCCTTGCTCAAGGCCACGTTGCGTCAAGGTCATTCCTCTTCGCAGTGAGCGGTTCCAGACGCGCTGACCTGCAGCCATTCGACAGAATTCAACTCGGACGCACATGCGTCCACGGGGTCGAAGCAGCCCATGCGGCCACTTGAACACACCATCCCTCTACGTCCCTGCGAACACAATATTAGCCACTTTACACCGCCCCTCGACGTACGCCAAGTGGACACCACTTCAGATCGTCCCAAAAAACATACAAAAGCAGTCGCCACCACTGTCTCACTAGTTTTCAGGGACGACTAGACGCAGTTGACGCCAGCCCTGGCCTTGGCAGCAGCCAATACCGCCTCGGAAGACAAGTCGGGGTTCTGTATGCAATAAACCCCTCATTCTGGTGACTTCTGTCTTTCCCTGCAACTCGGAATATGACCTGATGATTGTAGCTCATGCCGCTGAGACAATAGATGTCCTTAGATCAGTAAAAATCATCACTGAGCAAGTTCACAGGGGGGGTGTACTTTAACGACGGGTTTAGGTGACTCGCTCTTTTTAAGAATGCATTTACATGCATAATATAATAAAATGAGGTTGATAATCACATCAGCATACCTTGACATTAAATGTGGGGGTAGTAAACATGGTCACTGGTCTGGTTGGAAGAAGTGGACTAGATCTAGGCAGAATGGTATTGCCGACAAAGACAAGGGAGGCTGGAATGGCCATTTCTGGCTTCTTAGCCGTCGTCAGCCAGTCATACCCAACCCCGAGGTGTGGACCACCTGGGGCTCGAACTCGCGACCTGTTAGTTAGAAGTTCAACGCCCCTAACCACTGAGTCACAGGCTCGTTGTCCTGTCACTTCCGATCGCGAATATACAATGGCAGAGGTGCGCTCACCGATCGTCTTTGCGGAACTCAAACGTCTCATTGCGGTCTCCCTTGTCTTTTTCGGTAACAACATCATGCGCCGCTGTGAAGCTACTGGTCGGGCTCGCAAGAGAGCCCTTAAAGCACATCGGGACGAGTGGGATCCGTAAAAATGGTCGAAGAGTGCTCCTCTACCAGTAGACTAGATCATTTGAACAAGGGAGCTGTTTACCAGACGGTTCGGGTTCATATTCGAACTCACACTCAGAGACAGAAACGGACTGATTCGATGAGCGCACGATTGGCACAGTATTTGTTGGATTTCGTTGACGAGTAGGCACCTGCCAAGACAGATGAGTTCGTGTGACCATGGAGCAGACTAATTCAGGGAATAGAAGTTCTTCTGGGATATGTCATGGTCGTTGTACCACTGTTGATGAAGATTCTGGTGATTCTGTCGTTGATCTTCTCAGTGAGGACCGAACATTTGTGGAGAATACCCCTGGGGACGAATTTAACTCAGATTTGCAAAGTTGTCCCTTTCAACGGAAGCCAACCCTGTTTTGATTCCATCAAACTGCCAATACCTCGAGAAAATTGCTTCAACGACAACAAAGATGTTCACCGTTTATCTAGCGAATTCGCCCCTCACGGCCGTGCTTGACGCCGGCGAGTACGTCTGCTAACAGAATTCAACATAATTATCACTAAAAGGCAACAAAAAACATAGTCAAGAACGGGCTAGGTAGGCAATGAGAGCGTTGAAGCGGGCACGGCGTGCGCACTGCAGCGTGCGAGGGCAAAAAAAGGCGCCGGGGGGAGCGTGAGAACTATCTGGCGCCGAAGCTAATCGATAAGCAAGTGCAATTTTACGCGGCCGTTTGCGACCATCGCGATGCCGGCGCAGCCGACCCAACAACCAATCAAATCATGAGCTCGCTGAAGGCTCATTACCCCCATTGAGTACGATAGCTCGCGGCGAGCTCGCCTGCTACTAGGGTGGTATTGCGCCCTCTTCTGTGGTTAATAATGTGCCAGAGTGGCCGATAGCATGCCGACAAAAGGAATGTATGATATGCACGGCGTTTTCAGTTCGAGCCTTATTCTGACAGACTGACATAGTCAGCCAGCGGAAGAGCGAAAATAAATTCCATTTAAGGCTCACATACACGTGCCCCCTCCCCCTTCGCAAGGGGAACGCAGTCCATTGGTTGCTTGCATGTTGAGTCAATCCGCTCTCATGCGGTGATGTTTTATTGCCGGCTTCTTAGGATGACCAAATAACTCCCTCCTATTTTACTGATTTGGCCATGCTCAGAGAAGTAGGGCAAACGGACAGCCACGTGGTCAGACTTGTATTTGTCGAGCTTGCGGGGAGGAGAGCCGTCCTTTCACGCGGCCGGATGGTTGAGGTGTTATTTGTTAGGGAAGACCACTTCGGTTATTGCGTCCTCTTCGTGCTGGAAGACAACGGGTCAGACGCTGTAAGTCGACCAGACAGGTAGAAAAACAAGCTCTGTTTTGGGACGACACGTTTTGCCCTCCCAAGGAGACAAGCAGAACGAAGATGTGAGGGACTACGCAGACTTCGTGGTGGCCACAGAGTCTCACACCTGTTTACTAATAGTTTATTATGGTAAAATTGACCCGAATCAGTTTGAACTGTTGGTCTGCACGCGGACAACTATGGTTTCTAGCAACTCCATGCCTGAAACTTCGTAACCCCGGGCGTTTGCTTTCGAAGTGGGGTGAAACAGCAGTGTGGAAGTCAATTTGCGCACCGGTTCTACTCTCTCCCTCTCTCTCTCTCTCTCTCTCTCTCTCTCTCTATCTTCCTCCCTCTGTCTCTCACCCTCCCCCTCTCTTTCTAGCTCCCTCTCCCCTCTCTCTCCCTCTCTTACCCCCCCTCTCTCCCTCTCTATCTCCCTCTCCCTCGCTCACCCTCCCTCCGCTCTCTCTCTCTCTCGTTCCCCAGACCCATCGCGACTTGGTGGGAAAATTGGTCCAGGGTTCAGTAACTGTTACAGCGGCGGCCTGTTGCATGTTGGTTCCTCTTCGGCAACCGACCTCTGCTTCATTCATAATCTCAGTGTGAAGAGATAAATAAATAAACGATTTTTATTAAAGACCCGTCGGGGTCCCACCAAAGCATGGCCCCGCCACCAGTCCCCACCCCTCTGGATTTGTGTCCACCAGTCGCTGCGCATGGTAGGACGTCGTAGAGCCCCACGAGTGAGCACTAGCCGCTAAGTGGGATGAAAAATCTCGCGCACAGATAAGCCAAGCCAGACGCACCTACCGAGCCCACGCAATACACCCATACACTCGTTGCGTGCTGACAGCAGTCAGTACGCCACCGTTGCGCCTCTGGACCGCCCTGAGCGTTGGGCCCAATACACACTGCCGCCCTCGGCACGGACGGGCTTCCAGTCAAACGTCTGAAAAAGGCAGCCGGGACACCCGACGTGTTGCCGACAGGTGAGGCACCTCACCGTGTCAGTTGGTCATCTTTGCCGTGGTGCGATAATTTTCGGGTGGAACGCTGCGCGCATCCACTGACGACCTTCTTGTGGGGTCTGTGTCGGATTTAACTGACCTTAGCCCCCGAATTCTCTCGCTCTTCCTCTCCCTCTCTCTTTCTCTCCCTTCCCCCTCTCTTCCTTAGTCTCCCCAGACCCATCGCGACTCGGTTGGAAAACTGGTCCAGAGTTCAGTAACTGTTACAGCAGCGGCCTGTTGCGTGCTGGTTTCTCTTCCACAACCGAACCCTGCCTCATTCATAAGCTCAGTGTGACGAGATGGTCGCGTCACCAGTCCCCACCCGTCTGGATTTGTATCCAGACGCATGTGTCTCTGCGCATGGTAGGACGTCGTAGGGTCCCACAAGTGAGCACTAGCCGCTAAGTGGGATGAAAAATCTCGCGCACAGATAAGCCAAGCTAGACGCAGCTACCGTCCCCACGCAATACACCGCTGCTGCTCCGCTCCACGCCAAATACACACTGCCGCCCTCGGCATGGAGGGGCTTCCAGACAAACGTCTGAAATAGGCAGCCGGGACGCCCGGTGTGTTGCCGACA